TAAAGTGCTCTTCACACCAAGGGATTGATTGTCGAAATGCCGACCTTAAAGCGCTCTTCACACCAAGGTTTGGGTCATTGAAATGCCGACCTTAAAGTGCTCTTCACACCAAGGTTCGGGTCGTTCAAATGTCGACCTTAAAGTGCTCTTCACACCAAGGGATTGATCATTGAAATGCCGACCTTAAAGTGTTCTTCACACCAAGGTTTGGGTCATTCAAATGTCGACCTTAAAGTGCTCTTCACACCAAGGGATTGATCGTCGAAATGCCGACTTTAAAGTGCTCTTCACACCAAGGTTTGAGTCATTCAAATGTCGACCTTAAAGTGCTCTTCACACTAAGGGATTGATCATCGAAATGCCGACCTTAAAGTGCTCTTCACACCAAGGTTTGGGTCATTCAAATGTCGACCTTAAAGTGCTCTTCACACCAAGGTTCGTGCCGACCTTAAAGTGCTTTTCGCACCAAGGTCGACGGAATCTAATAGGCAGGCAGAAACACCGAAATCGTCGAGTTTAACGGTGCCGCGCGAATCAATGAGAATGTTACCGGCTTTGACGTCACAGTGGATGTGTCCGTGATGGTGAAGATACTCCAAACCCTTCAATACCTCTTTGAGAATGGTTGCAATGACAACCTCTTCAAAACCATCGGGATGCGCGACTTTCAATATGTGGAGGCATGAACCGCCGGCCATGAACGGCATAACCACCCAAAGATTGTGCTCGGCGACGAAGGAGCAGTGCGATTTGAGGACGTTAGGGTGATCGACGAGGATCATGGTCTGGGTCTCACGAGAAACGTTGTTGAGATCGCGATTGTCACGTTCGAAGTCGAGGATTTTGATGGCGACGACCTCGTTGAAGGGAACGCATAGCGCCCGGTGCACGGAAGCGCTTACGCCTTGGCCAATCTCCTCGTAGAGAAGGTAATGCTCGGCGCCGATAGGGTACTTCTTCTTCTCTATCTCTTTTTCTTTGTCCTTGTCCCTCATGGTGGATCCGATTGGAAGGAAAATAGTAAGATTGAGTGATTTTGAATCAAAGAAAGAGAGTGAGGTGAGGTGAGGTGAGGTCACGTGAAGATGGGTTCTGTTGCGCAACTTTCTCGTGAAACCACTGAGCTTTTTTTTTTTCTCTGTGAATCAGTTTCTTTGTTGCGGCCTTATCGGATGGCCAGTGTTTGGGTTTGAAAATCTCTCCGCCCGCCACCTCTTGTTCTCTCCTCAAGGGGCACACCCCTTGATTGCATCTTCCTTACAAATTAAAACCAACAAAACAAAATAACATAAAATCAAATCAAATCAAATCTTCTATGGCAACCAACCACCCCGTTGTAAGATCCAATTTTGGATGCAAATAAAGTCAACACCGAACACAAAGGGGTGGAATTTACCACATGGTCATCAAAACCTCAGAAAATCTTGTGACACAACGTGAATCACCCCGAGATCTAACAGGGCTTCCAAATCAATTTTTGAACATGTGATGTCGGGAATAACATGAATATAGCACATGGGTATTAACAAAACAGTGACTTTCTCAAGAACACAAGCAAAAGGTGGGATTTTTCTTTTTTGATCTTACCAAACCAAAGATGAAAGTGGTGGTGCAGCGTCAGTGAATAGTCAGAAGAAGAAAAGGTGTATCATATTGACACATGGTATTGACCAGTAAGCGTGGATTATGGAGATAGTTGGCGATGATGAATGAATGAGTGAATCTGGATATGTTGTTGCGTGTAGTGTGTTCCTACTTCCTACGACTTCTCTCACTCCTCGTATTGAGACTTTCTGCTCCCGTCCAACAACAAAGGTGTGGGATGCAGTTTTACCTGCCCCACGGTGGGCGCCAAAATGTTCCGGTATTGGACTGCCGCCGAAGAACCCTTAGCGATACCGAGCTAAAAGAACTTGACAGCAGTCTTGACCTAGAACATTCGATGAGAGTAACTTGCTGCCTTAGACCTAATCATTGCTATATATCACGGTGTGACGTTATAGACATGAATCGCACTTATGATCTCATAAATCACGCCCCATTATGGACTCGTAACTCCCAGTATTTATTACTGTTCCCACGGATCGTGGGATCTTATTGATTGTCCGAGTGAGCCAGTTAATCTCCCCATATTTGGGTCCCTCTTGTGTGATCGGCATTTTTCCGACCTGCTTCTGATCGGCCAATATGGCCGGCCAATGGGAGACCACCACGGTACAAGTATAAAAGTTCACGATAATTCATGCATACGGCTAAATCAACTTAGATAATTTTTGTAGTAAAAATGATACTAGTTTATGTACATATTTAATCCCTATATAATTGTCTCTTTTTGGTTTCTAAAATATAATAAATGTCTCTTATGTTGTATTTATTTCCATAAATGAAAGATTAAAAACTGACAATTTGTCATGAAAGACAAAAACCACATGCAACACATTTTCATGAATTGAGGATTAACAAATAGTCCTAACGCAATTATAAACGAACTTTATTATAAAGACGGAAAATAATTTTATTTTCAGATTTGGAGAGAAAAAATTTGTCAAAAGGTATTGAAAAAATATATAAAATATATAAATTGAGATGAAGCGGTGCTGTTTTAAGTTTGTAAATAGTTAACTATATTTTTTCTCCTAATTTTTTTTTCCTCCATGATAATTGAAGGCTAGCTAATTAATCCGCATCCATTGTAGGAAAACAACCTATAAAGATATTACTTATTAGGTGTGTTCTTAGTTTGAGATTCATGATAAATATGATTATACGAGATGCTGTGTTCATCATACTCATTGATGAGAGGATCGTGTGATAATAGGTTGAACATGAAAGTATATATGTTTACAAAGTATTTTTTTTTAACATTTTCATTTTATTTTATTTTTCATTTTTGCACTTTCGGTCAGACGAGAGTTTTATTTATTTATTTTTAACCATGATTTCACGAATAAAATCTCAACAAATGAAAAGAGTGAAAAAGTGGAAAAAATGCTCCAATATGTTTCCACCAGAACTGTTCCCTTAAAGTCACGAAGTGGATTTCATGCTGTATTACAATTTATTAAAATAGGTGTTATGTTTTTTTTTTCTTTCTTTATAATGATTACTGATTACACAATACGTATGTACCCTAATAAAAAAAAATTACATGTCATTTAATTTAACTGTTGGTTGATTGACCATACGTTTGGTAATTAATTGACCACCGAAGATTCAGTGTTTTGTGATTCACTAAAATGTCCACACCTGAAAAAAATATAAAAAATAAAAAAGGCTTTGTTGTTGGGTAGAAGACACAAAGGTTTAATTAAAAAATTTCCGACCTGCCGGATTCGAACCAGCGACCTAAGGATATCAGCATGGATATTCCAACTACAGTCCTCCGCTCTACCAACTGAGCTAAGGTCGGTTGCTTGCTTAATTAAATTCAAATTTTAATTAGTTAATAAAATTATTATACGTAAGTCGACACTTGAAAATGGTTAGATACGGTACACTTTTTCTTTTAAAACATATATACAATTAAATAAGATAGTAATTAGTCAAAAAATCACTTAAGGAATGATAATTTTACTCTTAAGACAAATTAAAATTATATTTGCACCTATATATGACCCTTCATGATGATAATCAATTAATCATACAAGAACACCATAATTACTCGTTACATAAATTAAAAGATGTTTATCTGTTTGAATAAATTAATTAGACAATTGAAAGAAAAATTAATTAAATCAACCTTATTTTTAATTATTAAAAAAAGGTACTCATAAACTATATGAACAATATTGTTTTTCTCCAGATTTTTACTGTTATATATATATTTGGGTTCCTTTGACTAAGACAACTAAAAGGGAAGCCAAACTTTTACACTCTCTCCACATTTTTATATTTACTTATGGTTTTATATTTTTAGCGCTAATTTTAATTTGAAAATCTAAACAAACATTATATTTTTTCGGTGTACAGTGAGAATAATGCAAAATTTAATCTAAGCCTTCGGTATTTCCATAAACTTTTCATTAGGCTAACCTTACTACGTAAAACAAGTACTATACACACACATATATATATTTTTTATAAAAGTTTTAAAATCTTTTACCTTGAACTATTGAAAGGACATTTTTTTCTGATAATAAATAATAATATATCAGTGACATGATATAATAATATAATATATAATTTTTTTTATAATTAAATCTGGATTATAACTCTACCATTACCTTCACCAATAACATATAATCATTCATAAAAAGTCAAAAATTCATATATTTTCTTTGCATGTGCTATTGTTTTAATAAAAAATGCTTTGATAATGATAATTTTGTTTTTTACACAATTAAGTTAGCTTGTAAAATAAAATGAAGTATTTTAAAAATGGATATTAGAAGTTGAAATAAATTATTTTAGCCTAGTAATTGGGTGAGGAAGGGTTGAGGTAGTTAAAAACATGAAGATATAAATTCAATCTTTATTGTAATTATCTTTATAATCTTTTCTATTATTAAAAAAAAAAAAAGAATTATTTTAGCTTAATTAACAGTTGATTAAATTTCATTCTTTATCGTCAGAAAAGGTCAAATTAAGTTTCTTTTAGAATGGAGGAAACACAAATATCGGAAAGAAATTAGTTATAGATTATTATTATTATTTGGTTTTTAAAAGGGCGTAGGCCAATGTAGGTGTGATTTTAAACCACAATAAATCCAACGGCGAGGGACAGCCGAAGGAAAAGAAAGAAGGAAGGCATTATTAGTTATTAGGGTGTCCACCACAGCAATTGGCAAATTTGCAAAGAGAAGAATCGAGCGACGCAATAACCTCATCCTTCTACTCACTGTTGTGTTTGTGTGTTTGTTTCACTGCGCTGAACTTTCCCTCTCTCTGTTCCCTCTCAGAGAGAGCGAAACGAAGCGACCAAGGTTAAAAAGGTAACCACAACCACCGCCGCTAGGTTTCCCTCTTTCTTTTCCATTTCTCACTCCAACAAACCAACCACTTTTCCTTGCTAATTGTTCCTCACGCTTACGTATTTTGACTCTTTCACTCATTCTCTTGTTGCCTGTATAAGATTCCATTGTTATCGTTTCTACTATTTATTCCAATACAATTTGTTATTAAATTTGTTGCTAATTCTTTTTTTTAATTTTTTTTTATCTTGTTCCTTCTTTGAGCTCGCCAAACTCTTTTGCTTTTTTTTTTTGGTCGTAATCGTATATTTTAAAGGTTACATTATGTGTTTAACTTTGTTTGGTAGTTATTTATTTGGATATCGGTTTGCACTTGGTCTAGTTGATTCTGGATGCATTTTCGGTGTTTGGAATAGTTAAGAAATAGGTTTCATTTGATTTAGAAGTTGATTTCCATGTTCAACATCATTATAAGAAATAGGACTTGAATTGGTTTCCACAGTTGTCAATTCTGAGTGGCGGCGTGTGTAGCTGCCGCTACTCAGAGTATGGTTGTTGGATAATGGATACGACAATGGTATGGCATGGAGATACATCATTTCCTAAAATATTAGAATACTGATACAGTAAGATACACCGTAACATATTAAAAAAAAGTCAAATACTATGCCTAATTATGTTTCATCTTATCATAAATAAAAAGTAGTAGATTAGCCTATGATTGAGGGGGAAGGCTTTTGTTTTGTTCTTTTAACTAGCATCAGCGCACCATAAATAAGACTACCATTTTCAGTTATTTATGATATCCTAGTCTCAGATGTGTTTATGCAAAAATTAAAATAAAATATTATAGGATGTAGGCTACTGTAGTATCTTATGGTGCTTGAGCCTTGAAGTTTATCTGATACGGGTGCACATCAGACGCCAGTGCTGCAAACTCTTAAATTATCTGCTCTTCCTACAGGACACACAATGCTCAAAGCGTAGGGGTCTGTTGAGGATAATGTCCACTAATGGCTTGAGAAGGGATGCTATTCTTTTGTTAGTTTATATATTCCTTCTTTCTGGATCCCTCACCCCAATATGATGGTGGTTGTATGGTTTTAGGGTTATTCGTTATTTGTATTTCTTGCCTACCAAGAATTTCTGTAAACTATAAATGTTAAGAGAAGATTCTTTTTAAGAATGGATCTGATATTGATCAATAGCAGTGAATAGCTGCCGATGACAACTCAAGAGGGGGGAAATTAAACTTCTGTAGATATTCTAGTTCTTAACAGTACTATGTTTCAGATTTACTTCCTTAATTTGTGAAATCCTATGTAAAAGATTTTTCTTTGTTTTAACGTTCTATTCCGTACAAGTCTTACATCATGCTCATTGTGTTGTGTGGCTACTTGATCAAATTAACTATCTTTCTCCTCAAGTTGCATTCTATATCTATTTTCTTTGTTTACTTGTTTGCTTCATTTAGATGGTCTCTTACAGTCTTACCATTCTAGAACATTAAATTTCAGTATATGTATTTTTTTTCAGCTAGCAGAAGTTCTTCAGTGTCATATATTATGGCAATAACACCTCTTGGTAGTACATCTGCTGCTCAATGGGGAATTCATCCTCAGCTATTTCTACGATCCAGTATCACTGGCAAGGTTGCATCATCCAGCCACAAGTGAGTTCTATGATTGAATATTGGTTTTGTAGAATGGAAGTAGTAAAGGAGTGCCATAAATAACAATTTATGAGTCACACATTGCGTGTAGCAATAGGTCTCTGATTTGCATCCCCCAAAATTCTTTTCATGATTCATGTTGATGCACTTGTATTACACCATGAGAAATGAATGTATTACTTTTGAACATTGTTTTCTCTATTTATCATATCACCAAGATCAATAATAAGTTAAGTGTAATTTATGATTTTGTTGCTTTTATTGTCATCAGCAGTAACTTTATTGTTTGGATATGGTCTGAATTTCTCAGAATTTTGGGAATGCTTTTACTCAGAATCACCATTGATGGTAATAAGGACATAGTCATGATGTCAAAAAAAGAAGAAAGATGATGGTGAATAATAGAAAAGAAGCATAACAAGTTAGATAGAAATTATTAATGTGAACCGGGATTTCTAGAGGAAGAAGAAAGAATTGAACACAAGAAGAAATAGTCCCGTAAAGTGTGAAGGAACAGGGGTCAAAATAGAGGAAATTTTTTGTGCAGTGGTCAAGGAAGAAGGATTTCAAATCCTACTATTGAACCAAAAATTGCATAAGAAAATGGGAGAGAAATCACAATTTACCCAAAGAACCCTAAACAATGTTGTTTTAGGGGTAAAAATGGGCTTTTGAAGCCTATGTATATGAGAAAAAGCTAAACAGAATTGAAAAGAATGGTGGAGCTTTTTATTATTACTCAATAATTAAAGGGCTACACACCCTCCTTATATAGAAGGAAGGTACAGCTGTACAGTACAGCAAGTATATTCTAACAACCTAACTAATATTCTAACAAACTAATGATGAAATTATATATATATATATATATATATATATAATATATATATATATTTATGAGTTATCCAGCTTAATATTTCTCTTAATTTGCTAGTAGTAGTGCGATTCTACTAAGTGTAGAGACCATGACGGATTGTTATATATATATATATATATTTATATTTACACATATAGTGTATATTTATGCTGGTGCGCCTCCTAACGAGTTGAGAGGTGGCAGCTGCTGTGGAAGCCTTCTCTTCTCAACCTTTTGCGGCGTCAATCGCTTCCCAGCCATGGCACGCTCTTTCTCACAAGGCAAACACACCCTTTCCCTTGCTCTTCATCAGCGAGGGTATGCAGTGGCGTCTTCAGATGTTTCGTCGGTGAGGGGGATTGGATAAGATTGGGGTTGAGGGCATGAGCGGTATAGTGGAAGAGAAAAGTGTGACAAAACATGGTTTGGGCCCTTCAGCTTGGGGCCCAGACCCAGTGACAGGTTACAACAGGCCCATCAATCACACCGATGAGATTGACCCGGTGCAGCTCTGACAGATGCTGTTGAACCACAAAGTCAGATCCTAGATACACCAATACTATGTCATGATAGTACTGCTATTTTAATTCTGTAGCAACCAAGGACTGCTCTGTTCTGCTACTTTGCCATGACGCTGCTGTGCTATAGTGCGATATTGACTACTGTGATATTAATTAAATGACTTCCTATACTCATGTGTACTAAATTTTCATTATAGCGTGATACATGAATCTAGAATTTCTTTAAGTACATAAAGTACCATTGTTTCCAGAAAATATTAATATGCTTTAGCATCTTATTCAGCAGATATACTAGACTAGATCATAGTGCTGGATTGTGGAATTTATTTAAGTCTCCTTCCTTGCAGTGTTACTGGGAGGGTAAGCTTTATGGCTGCAGCAAGTTCAAGCTTTTTTTCTCGAGATTCCACACTACTCAATGTGGGTTCGTCTCAAACTTTTAATCGTCGCAAGGGATCAAGATTGATTGTCAGAGCAGATGCAGTAAGTTTGAAATGCACTCTTCAACAGCAATGAGTTCCTTTTGTGTGTGTTTTAAATATATGATTGTACTTTGTGAATGTATTCCTCTTATTTAAAACGTATAAAGCCCTTGTTAACTATTCAATATATTCACTGAATATCCTTTGTTTGTCGACATGCAGGATTACTACTCAGTCCTTGGGGTTTCAAAAAATGCTAGTAAATCTGAAATTAAGAGCGGTATTTTCTATTTGTTCCCTTGCCTGCTACATCATAATATATCCATTATTAATTTAATATAAATTGACATATTTGAATGCGAGTATTGATTTACTAATAACCTTTTGTTGAGTTAGGTTAGATAGTTTGAATTAGAGGGGAGGGGAAGAGACAGATCATCTTGTCTTTATTAATATTTGTGACTGGAAATTAGGGCCTTTTGGCATTGGGAGGTGTAGAACCTTAAAGTTTGTGTAGTATGTGTGTTCTATTCTGTAAATTGGGGAGTTTTTGTCTATATTATTAGCAAAGGGTACCAGGTTCTTAAAAAAATTCTTTTGGGCAAATTTTTTAGCTTTGAATCTAGAAACCGAGACTCTAAGCCTCTATTTCGTGCATTTTTTTCTTTTGTAGCATAGGATTGTTTTGCAATTGTAATACGAAATTAGTGAACACTGGACAGGAAATTATTAGGACTAATAATACTGCACTTGTACTTGATCTGAAATATTAGTATAAATTGGAGTTGAGTTCATTGTTTTTAAAAGTGGTTACTTCTGCTGTGTAATGTATATGTTTTCACTTCGCTTTATTTTCTGCTGACTGTTCATTTTTCTTGCCACCACTTATTGTGGTATATTGTCTTCAGCCCTTTGTCCTTGCTGCTTCTTCTCCCTCTTTGTAGCACTTTTACTCCCTTTAAAGATTGTTCCTCCATCTTTTCTGACCTTTGTTTTCATGGTTGTTCCTTCTCTGTACTCTCAATGGTGCTATTTGTGGCTGTTACTCCTGTTTGCCACTATTGTCGATTGACATGATCTCCTGTGGCCCTACCACTGCACTTGGCACTTGTAAACTGTTTTGCCTTCCTCCCGGTTGGATCTTTTCCCAAATCTGCTGTGTTTTGCCATGTTTGCCTTTGTATGGTTGTGTCTTTTTGCAAGTAGTTGAGAGCTTTTTATGCTCCAGCTTGAAGTTTAGTGTCAGAAAAATAGCATTCTTATTGTGTTATTGAGCTAGGCTTGTAGGATTGTAATATACTTGACCTATACTATCATGGTAAATAGGAGAATTATTTTAAGTGCTTATCAACACATCTTGTGTTATTTGCCTTTGTAAGGCTCTTGTTTTTGTTTATTAACACATCACAATTGTATCAGTGTCATATATCATAGCAATAATAAAGCTCTCTTACTTTTGACATTTCAGCTTATCGGAAACTTGCCCGAAATTATCACCCAGATGTCAACAAGTGAGTTTCTTTCTCCTAATTTCACATATTGGACTGTCTTTTTCCTGATTCATTCCTTTTCCTTGTCTCCCCATGGTTGTTGTAAAAAGAAAACACTATTGCTCTCATTGCTGTGGCCAACATGGTTTGGCCATCTCAGATTATGATGCTTGTTGTTTTCTTTTTTAATGTTAATTTTGTAATGCAATTGTTGAATTGTTCCTGTCTTGTGAGTTTCATTCACGTCATATTTTTAACACTGGTTGATAATGCTTTCTCGATGAATTTCTTTTTTTGTTCATTGCTGTTTCTTAATAAAATATTATATACTAAATAATAACGGTTATTCTTTTACTGTAATTTGGATATATAAAAGTTTACTGGCAAGCAAAATGTTAATGTTTGTTCAAATTTGTGGTGGATGTGGACTTGATTTTAGCAACAAATAATGCAATTAAAATTGAGCTTCTGTAAATGTCAATTATGCTAATTTTCTGGTGTCATCTGAATCGTTTTATAAATGCTGCATATTGTTAAACTATTGTCTGTATTTTCTTGTGTTGCAGAGAACCAGGAGCTGAACAAAAATTTAAGGAAATTAGCAATGCATACGAGGTAAAACTACATATTAAACTCAGCTTGACCTCATGCGTATGTCTAATGAAGTAATAATAACTTGTCTTGTGTAATTAAAATTCCTTACAGGTGTTATCAGATGATGAAAAACGATCTATATATGACAGATTTGGAGAGGCTGGGCTTAAAGGTTCTGGAATGGGGATGGGGGTAAGTCACCTCTGATGATGATTTATAATTTTATTTTGTTACTGTTTCTCAATGAATGGTTTGTCTCTGTTACAGCAGGATTTCAGCAATCCATTTGATCTGTTTGAATCACTGTTTGAGGGCATGAATCGTGGAGCAGGTTCGAGAGGTTCTTGGAATGGAGCAACTGATGGTGAAGATGAGTATTACAGTCTTGTTTTGAACTTTAAAGAAGCAGTTTTTGGCATAGAAAAAGAGATAGAGATAAGCCGATTAGAGAGCTGTGGAACTTGCAACGGTTCTGGGGCTAAACCAGGGACTACACCATCCAGATGTAGCACTTGTGGAGGTCAAGGCCGGGTTGTCTCATCAACAAGAACTCCATTAGGCATCTTCCAGCAGTCAATGACATGCTCTTCATGCAATGGGACTGGAGAAATTTCAACACCTTGCAATACATGTTCCGGGGATGGTCGGGTGAGGAAATCAAAACGGATAAGTCTGAAGGTCCCAGCTGGTGTGGACTCTGGAAGTCGTTTAAGGGTCCGAAATGAGGGGAATGCTGGAAGAAAAGGTGGTTCCCCTGGCGACCTCTTTGTTGTTATTGAGGTTATCCCAGATCCTGTCCTTAAACGAGATGACACCAACATTTTATGCACCTGCAAGGTTTCTTATATTGATGCAATCCTGGGGACTACAATTAAGGTTCCTACTGTAGACGGAATGGTGGATTTAAAAATTCCAGCTGGGACACAACCGAACACAACACTCGTTATGGCTAAGAAAGGTGTTCCCTACCTGAATAAGAACAATATGAGGGGTGATCAGTTGGTTCGTGTGCAAGTTGAAATCCCTAAAAGACTGAGCAATGATGAGAGAAAACTTATTGAGGAACTTGCTGATTTAAGCAAAGGCAAGACTGCCACCGGTAGGAGATAGTACCTTGTGTATCTATCTATACGTCTTTCTGCTTCCGCAAATATTATCTTTCACAGATGCATCATTCTTGACTACACATTTACTGAGGACAACTTAGCAGCTATTGAACTCTGGGAGGGTTTAAATTGTGTTGGTGGTGGTTGTTTATTTGTCCTTGGAAACACATGGACATGAAGAGCAGAAGAAATTAGATATCTTTTTCTTTGTTGGAACTTATATGCTTCTTGTAATTTATTTTGGGGGCGGGGTGGGGTGATATTGAATTATGCTTTAGGTACAATAGTATCTTTATTTCTAAAAATTCGATTGATGCTCAAAAAAAAAATCAAATAATAAATTATTTAATTTCATATATTGAAAAATTATATATTACATTTACGGGAATTGCACAGATGAAAGTTGAGGACTGGCGGACGTGATGGGGACACTCTTATCGATGTCACAGTCAAAAAGTTCAAAGCATATGTCCGTTATGAATCACGTCTCGTACAAAACAAAAATAGTCATAGCCTGTGTTTGGGTTTCACGTTTGAAACGTGAAAAATCACGTTTAACGTGGAAGTTACACATTTGTAGCTTTTACGTTAAACGTGATTTTTCACGTTTCAAACGTGAAACACCAAACACGCACATAATCTCTTAACTATAGGATCACTACACTTCCCTTGCGCCTTCAAGTTTAAACATTTGCATGTTTGCTCGTGATTCTAAAATTTTTCATCCCATCTAAAATGGCATGTCCCTTCACCAGAAGATTATCCGCACTACCTAAGAAATGCGGTTCATCTTTATCTATATAATTAATGTATATTGGCCCCTTATCATTTGATCCCTACAAATTATATTCATACCAAGCATAAGAGAAAATGAATAATAATCAATATAATCAATGATAGATAAAGCCGTATTTTATTAATCCTTTTTTACCCTTATATCACAATAATAATATATTTATTTTTTTAATATAGGATAAAAATGGTAATTTTAATATTGAATTTCTTTAGAATTTTACATTCATACAATTGCTAAATTGTACATCACTTTTAATATTTTATTAGTTTTCACGTCTAGTATTCTTATTAATTTATGTACATTTCAATATTCGTATTAAAACTTAAAAGGATATCAACATCTATTCCAATATTTCTTTTATAAAGATATCTTAGTTGTTTTTACTGTTGTTCCTAAAATATTTAACTCTCTTTACGCTCATGTTTTCTTTTTCTTTCTCTCTATATTTTAACTTTTTTATTTAATTGTGCACGAATTCTCGTATAATAGATTTAATTGAAAATTCATAATGAATTAAGTGTAATGTGCACCCACACCATCACATTATTTCAATCAATTGCATAACAATTCTCCATTTTTTACTTTATTATGGGAGCAACATAAATCATAAATTTAAAATACCATTTAATTGATTTCAATTTTGCAAACCATAATCTTTATTAAACCACACATGCTTATTTGTTGAACATGACTTTTGTAGGAAGCCAGCGAGGCCAAAAATCATATTTTATTTCCTAAACATCATCCTTCACTCCATCTATTGTTTTCTTTTCACTGCCTTTCCCTTTCAATGTTGTTCTAGCGCATATCATTTTTTGTTTCTTTTTTGCTTTTACATGTTTACATTTTCCTGTTAAACTCATTTTATTAAATTGTTCTTACGAGCTACAACTCTCCAATCTTGAACTCCTTGAATCAAGGGACTCATAGTCATTACTATTTCACATATAACTTTCTTGTAAGCATCTTTCATCCAAATATTTTTATATTTCATTTTTTTCACGCATTTTTATATTTAATTCATTTGAATTTAGTTTTTGTTCACTTTTTTTTTTAAATCCATTTTTTATTACTTTAACAGTGATAATATAACCATATGAAATCTTTAAATAGCCCACAATTAAGAGTAACAAAAACATGGATGGAGGAAAAATGCTAAAAGTAAAAGACAAAGAATGACCACACATAAAAGACATGAATTATCTATCACACGAACATATTATAAGGAAAGTAATAGAATTTTTTATTTTTTTATTTCATGGGACGTCTTGTACAAAAAGTATTCTTATTTGTTATATATATTTTTTATTTTAGTTATTTATATAATTATATAATGAGAAGTGATTTACTTATTTTATATAAAGTCTTACTGCGGTCAAAAAATATATATAAAAAGAAACATTGTCTTACTTTTTCTGGCCTAAAAAGGTTAATACTAACGTCCGATGCATGCCTATTTAAATTAATTCAGCATTTATGTAGTTTACCTTATAAAATAATTTAAATAATAATATATAGATAAATAAATCAGGCAACATTTCACTAAACAGTAACTAAAATTTACTATTTTACTTTTATATATGTTTACATTCATGTACAACTTATTAATTTCTAACATTTTTTTATATGTTTTTGGACATATTAATTGCTATTTTTTATGTACAAAAATATATATTATCATAAATAGTAAAAGAAAAAAATATCAATCTATAATTAATGTGTAAATCAATAAATGTAGACACAATAAAACAAATTTTTATATAATATATTAAAAAAATTGAAGAAAAATTGTACAATATTTTAAATTTAACACAATAGGCTAGTTATTATAATAGACGAGTTATACTAATAGAAATTCGGTAACACAATTATTTATTCTATTATATAATTCTAAAAAAAACTAAATTATAGTATTACATAAAATAATAGAGACATGTAAAAAAATAATTGATAAAATTTTATAATTCTACAATATTACATTATAATTAATATACACTTTAATGAATAAGAAAAAAAATATTTCTAATTATCAAATTTAGTATAATAAAAATACTTTATTTGTACTAATAGATGAATCAGTTCAATAGACAAAATTACTTTTGTTTTAAAAATTATATATAAAGGTATAAAGTATCTCAATTTTAATAATAATAATAATAATAATAATAATATATTATTATTATTATTATTATTATTGCTATTATTACTAATTTAACCACAAAGTTGATAAATATTCAATATAAGCCCAAATAATGTTAAGTTGATTTTTTATTTTATAAAAAGTGTTATGAATGCATTCCATAGATGATGTCTATTCTTACTAGAATACACTAGGATGAAGTAGTTATTCTATAACCTTAACTTATTTTCAAATGTTAGATCAAATTATCTTGAATCTTTATCTTAAGTGCGTTGGAAGTATTTACAAAAAGGACTTCAACAATTAAGTTAATTTATATCATCAATATTCTTACATATAATATATATATATATATATATATATATATATATTATCACTGTACTTGTTCATTTTCATAAGTTCTATAACCATCATAGTTATAATACGAGAAAATGATTGAGTTGAACTTTATATGTCCAAGTCAATATATTGATAATATGACCAAGTTTATATTTAACTTGATAAATTAAATATATAACCAATCTTACATCATCGGTTGGATTAGTATCATGTCCAACATATATCTTCATTGAATTTATTAATAATTATTTACTAATTTTTTAACCAAGGTCCTTAGAGTTGAGAAGCGTTTAACCTGTATTTAATTTCACGTAAAAGATGTGTATGCACATAAACGATGTAAAAATCAGAAGTTACAAAGTTAATTTTCTATGTTAAACGTGAGTTGGACATGATTTTATTATATATACATGTTATCCAACTAAACTCGCACTTAACGTTTATCAGCATTCAATATAAATTGGGCGATACTAATAAATATTCTTAACGTGTTGGTTAAAAATTTAAAACAAAATTATGAAAAAAAATATACTTTTAATATAAATTAAGCCTATGTAGTGAAAAACATATGGGGTGGGAGAGGCTCGAACTCTCGACCTCAGGATAACTCAGAAGCTATGAGACCTACGCGCTAGCCAACTGCGCCACCACCCCTTTGGTTTGTAGTCTGCTTAAGTTTATAAATAATTTATTAAATAAACTTTTTTTTTAACTACAAAAATGAAACTCACAGTAAATACAATTTTTCGGGCTAAATACTTTAACGCACAGATTAAAAGTCTTTCCAAATATAACTTTTTTCTCCTTGCTGGTTTTTCTTTGGCTTAAAGTATGTTTGCCTCATGAAAAAAGTAAATTCTAAAAAAAGTTTGCATATGTTTGCATCAAGCGAAAAATAGATTCTAAAAAAAGTTTGCATCGTTCTGTTATTCATTGTGTTATTTAGTTTCTTAATCTATAATTTTAATTTATAAAAACTAAATAATTAACTATTTAGATGAAGAAATTCCAATCTTTGTCAAAGAACTAAATTACTTATTTTAATAAAGCGTCCCACGACTCCGCAGGTTTGAAATTTGGCTCTTATTTTCGGGGTTTTCTTCCAAAATTCTACGTTGACCAAAAAGATTTCATCTCCGCACTTCAAACCATGCTGATATATATGTGGTAAATTTAGAAATATTGGATGAGAAATGATTTAACAACAGCCCCCCTTTTAAAATTTTTGAGAAATTTAAGGGTCATTGAAAGAACTGTTTTCAAAATAAAATATGTTCTGATAATATAGAGTCGAGTTAGGAAACCTCTGGCAAATGATGAATTGTCAAAGGAAATCTCTGGCAAGCATTCCAATTTAATATGACAAAAATACAAACAATAAATTATGATCTTTACAACACCTTGCAAAGAATTGTGTCACATTTTAACTTACATGTATACATCGTCTGTCAATTAATATATGAAAAAAAATGTTTTTTTTGAGAGATAGAGATCTTAACCTTGTGGTAAACATCAAATATTTGAATCAATTTTCCTGATAGAAACCACTGCAGAGCAGCTGAAATTGCAACATTTCCAAGGCAAGCAAATCTTCTATTTAGCAGCTACTACATTTTCAAGTACTAATTCCAAATCTTTCAATCTGCATGATGGTTAACATAATTTTAGTAGCTGCGTCTAAATGAAGAAAACCTGATACCTTCAGTTGTTAGCAATGTATTATACCTTACGTTACTCAAGTCAGGGTAGATTGCTATGGCTTCACTGAAATCCTACATTAGATCCAAAATATAATTCAGGTACACCATCATGCAGCCAGTTTAAATAGTAACTCACTAATTTCCCTCCATGTTCAATAACAATTTAATTGGCATTTTCTTGTTGAATTTATTTCAAGGTTAACTGCCTCACCTGATCTGCTGTGGAAGGTGTGTAGGTAACCACGCATGACATTCCTGCTTTTGTTG